ATAATACCTTCTCCCCAGCATTCAGGAAATACGCCATCATTAAATATTTTATTATAAAAGCGTGTGAGAAATGGACAAATTATATCAATTGAATTTTTAAATACTTCTGCAATCAGATGGTCAGTACCTGGGCATTTGGAATTGTTTTGCGAAAATATTGCATTTTTTATCTCCATCGATGTAAATTCAACATCTAAATCATTATCATATATGTAATCATTATGTACATCATTATTTTCATGATCATACAGTGGTGTAGAACCGTACAAACTATTAAAATGTATATACATATCATCAATACTTATGTTTCTATTTTCTATAGTAGGTTGCCTGTATTGTGTTCTCACATTTCTCCAAAAAAGACTTTGGGTTACATTTTGCTAATTTTGACACTCGTTTCCCCTCTGTCTTTTTGAATAAACGTTTACATCTAAGTTTTATATCTTATATACCTTTCTTTTATTTATGAAAATGCTTTTATTCTCGTTCGTTCTATTATTTCTCAAAATACTTTCTTGCTCTATTTAATGCTCTTTCTGGCTCAAGCATTCAATGGCATCTCGCCACTCTTTGGGTATTTGTACTGCCAACACCATTATCTATGTTTTTAAGGACATCCTTCATATGGAAAGCTGTATTCCTTACTATTTCTCTGTGACTTTATACTTGTGAAATTTTCACAACAATCGGTCTTTGGATTTTCGGGGGTTGTTAGTGTACCAAGGCGATGGGCTCTATAAACTCTATCTCAGTACTGATTTTTAATGGATTTTTAATAAATTCTTTACAAATAGAGGACATGAATTAGGGTCTGTTTGCTGTATAATATGTGTTGGCGAAAATTAATATTTTTTGGTCAGTGTTACTTGTAGAGGAACTTGTTAATAACAGGATGCTTCGGTGAGTGTATGTACTTCCGGTAAGCCATAAAATATTAGATTGTCCTTCATATTTCTAAATTCGTTGTCCAAGATGCGTGTTCTAAGTTCTACCTGGGTTTTACTTAATGTTTTGATTGTAGAATTTAACGTGTCACATGATTTTGCATGGTCTTTACACTATCTTTAGTTGACGCTAATTCTGTTGTTTGCTTATCATACTTTTCACTGATAAATGTACTGTTGTTTTCTACATCGCAAACTCGCGACTCTATACTTTTTACCTTAATATCTAGATCATTGAGTTTCAAGCACATTGAGTTTACTACTTTTTTCAATATTGTCAATTTTATCAAGTCGGGAGTCGATCTTTATCAAGACGGGAGTTCATAGTTTCCATCATAGCTATAGCCCATGGTGGAGTTTGGTTTGTACCTTGATTCATCATTGGTGTACCTGGCGGTAGTGGACCAAGATATTGTTGATTATACTGATACGGAGGTGACTGCAATAATTGTCCAGTAAATGATTGTTGAAAAGTTCCATTAGTACTCATTTCACTATTTATTTTACTTACTGTTGGTGTATCGTATACAAATATGTCACTACTGTCCTAGGATGATAACTTGAGCCTTTGTTTACATAACAAAGACCAATAACAATGCGAAAAATAGGTTAGGCAGATCAATGCCACAATCTATAAAAATGAAAATAAAACTACATGTTATCATATGTCTTGTTAGCGCAGCAGGTAGAGCAACCGTGTCAGTAATGAGTTTATCCGTACAGACAGAAGTTCGACTACTGGTACATTTTTTTTACCTCAGAACAGTCAATTGTTTGACCGGTTTTTATGCATACATGAATATGAGATCGAATATTTTATTTCACTGTGATCAAAAAATACAAAAAGAAAAAAGAATAGAAATAAAAAATAAATATATACTATAAAATATATATCATAAGAAGAAAACAAAAAGGAAAACGAAAATAAATGAATAATTATAATGATAAAAAAACAGAGCAAGAAGAAAAACCTGTGGTTATAAAATGGCACTACTTGGGGTTCGAACCTATGAGAACAAAACTCTAAAAGTTACAAATAATTTCGATCTACCGACAGAACCATAACGGTAATACGCAAACGATACTGTAAGAATAATGCTATATAGTATTTGTAAGTGTTTACTTTTACGATATCGGATAATAATCCAGATAACCCCGTTTTTGGACTTTCCCATGTACCGTTAAGACCAAATTATCATCCTAGGACAGTACGTTGTTTCTTTCGTTTGTTTTGATTGTTTACGTCATCACTATCTCTGTTACTGTCCTAGGATGATAATTTGTTTTAATATCTAACTTTTCAGCAGATTCTACAATATGGTCAGCATTTTAATAAACATATTTTTGACTGTTTATTGTATTTTGTCATAGATAAATCAAGAATGACACGTCGCGTGTGAAATCGATTTTAATATGACCTTGGGGCATATCGATCTCGATAAATTATCAGTTTAATGGATATCTGTGGAAACATGTTGTTTATAATGTAATAAAAGCTTATTAACTATAACAATTAGCACATTATTAATTTTTGTTCAATATTACTTATACAATTATACAACAACAAATAAGGAAACAGAAATAGAGGATATTGAATGAGTGTAAGTTCAATAGTGAATTTATTGCACGAGTTGAATAAAATTATATTATGCGAGCCTCTGGCGAGCATAATATTATTTTATTCAACGAGTGCAATAAATTCAGTAATGAACTTACACGAATTTAATATTCTATTTATCACATACCCAAAATAAAGACCGTTTAAAGAGAAATAAGAGTCATTTTTCATTGACGCGCCTATAGTATAACGCTAACATTTAGCGCGTCATTACACTATGTTTGTATAACGCTAATGACGTCACGTCAAAATATATGCACGGCCGTGCAATACCATATTTACGGAGTCGCAAAATCGGCACGGGTGTGTGATAAATCACTTTATTTCATATTTGCGCTAAATACGACATAATAATTATATTTTTGTTAAAATATACATTACGTATATGTACATGTATATATTTTAACCTATGATGCATTAAGAGGTTAATACACGGCAGGTGAGGGCCGGAAGGTGATAATCGGCCCGCAAAATGAATAATGGACCCGAGGGCTTTAGCCCGAGGCCATTATTCATTTAGGGCCGATTATCACCTTCCGGCCCTACTCTGACGTGTATTAATGTCTTTAATACACTTGGATGATCTAATAGTAGCATTTAAAAAAAGAAAAGAAAAAAAAAACAAACAAAGTTCTTTTGTTGACATTCTTGTCTACTCTTCTACTGTTCTGTACAGAGATGTTTACTGTTTGTGTGTTCAAGCAGTAGAATCTAGAAGCAAGTTTTATTTTCATTTTTTTCGGAATAAATTTGTCGTATTATTTCTTCAAATTTCAATAGTAACAAAAAAATGTGTTTGTACTAAAATACGCTTAAGCTCTCATAATAAAAATAAAGCGATTCGTGCTGACAACCTACTTTCAATTTTACAGTTAACTGTTTGATGACGTAAAATATGACGTCATTGTTTCAGTTTGTGCACGTGTACATGTTCTGCGGGCTGATAACTAGTTCTCGGCCCGGGCCGCAAACTCATAATAGGTCACGTGACACTCATAATCAGTTGAAATCATAGGCAATTTTGTTACTATATATAGTAACAAGTGTATTAAAGTTTTATACATACTTGAAACAAATTATGATTTTTCGTACATCATATTTTGACTACATTTTTAAAATTTTAACCAATATATAACACGTTGAAGAAAATTCATTAAGGTACTTAAATAAAATATTATATCAAAATAAATTGAGAAATATTACAGTATAAATCAATTGAATTTTTTATAATTAATATGTATCATTTGTAATATTGACATCTTGAAAAAACATTTTATCAAGTATTTCTCGACCTCGCCTGTAATATCACCAACGGCAATTTGACACCTTCAATGTTTCCCTTCTTTGTGTAACTGGTCAGCAGTTTTCGATAATCCTTCTTTGTTTAACTGGTCAGCAGTTTCCTATATATTCTATATCGTCAGCTAATTCGTCAGCAGTTTAGTGCGACCCCTTCCATGATCGCACCGTTTGTCGGTGAGTTAGTAAATTCTGACCAAGCACCGGTAGACGCACGACAATGCGATACGATATTATTCCAAATGTCGCTTCGCATTGTCGAGTGTCGCTTCGCGTTGTCGAGTATCGCTTCGCATTGTCGAGTGTCGCTTCGCAATGTTGAGCGTCGCGGTGTAAAAATCATAAAAATAACGCGACATTTACTCGACATTTTAAAAAATGTCGCTTCGCGATGTCGAGTGTCACTTCGCATTGTCGAGCGTCGTATCGCATTGTCGCGTTGTCGTTTCGCATTGTCGAGTGTCGTGGTATGCACTTCTACCAACCTCGACACTCGACAATGCGAAGTGACAATGCGACAACGCGAAGTGACATCGCGACAACGCGAAGTGACATCGCGACAACGCGAAGCGACGCTCGACAATGCGAAGCGACACTCGACAACGCGAAGCGACATTTCTTAAATGTCGCCCTTTTTTTACCGCGACATTTCTAGGCGACAGTGCGACATATCGTTTGACACTGTCGAGCGTCGCTTCGCATTGTCGCATATCGCTTCGCGTTGTCGAGCGTCGCTTCGCATTGTCGCGATGTCACTTCGCATTGTCGTGTGTCTACCCTTAGACGCGACGGACGACATTCTAAATGGCACGATAAGGACACCGTAAGTTTTTGACTGCTTCTCGTTTCATTCAGTTGTACTACGTGTACAGTTTTATCAATAAAATCAACTCTTTGTATGTCAACACAACAAAGTTTAAGTTACATGTATAAGGCAATAACCTTTTGAATAAAGTTTAACATAAGCAGATTTTAAAAGAAAAGTACACGAATTCATGGAACATATACTGTCATTTTACTTCCTGGTTTTGTATTATGCGGTTAATGATAAACTAACTTAACGCTATATAACATACAATGGTTTTATTTTTATAAGATACATGTTCAAATTAACGATAAAGAGAGACATTTACCCTAGGTTTTGTAGTGTCCTTCAATATATTTACAGTTTAAAACTCTAATTGTGACAAGACATGAATCTTTGTGTTTTGTAGATATCATCGCAAAAATAAACAAATAACATTCTCGTTTAACTGATTGTGAAAAGAAAAATCTTCCATACAGTACACTTATTCTACCATAACGAATTAGAGCGATATCAATAGTCTGCTGATATTTAATCACTTTCATAAAATGTACACCTTTGGAGTTTGAAAAGAAATGGGAACGTATGTTAAAATATCAAAGAAAATCTTTATTTTTTTACATTTTTTCTAGGGACATTGGCAAATAATGAATTTAAAATATATCCATACAGGGGTTTTAACCATCTATTGCAGGGGCCGGTATAAGGCTGCTTCTCCAAAGAGAAATTCTTTAAAATCATGCAGTTTTCCCAAAAAATTAAATTTACATTAAGCTTTTTTTCCCTTTTGCAAATACACCGTGTAATTTCCCCCAAAAATTAAGGACATGGCTGCTTCCCCAACCTGTGGAAAAAAGCCCTGCAATATTATCAATGAACTAACTACCGGTATGTACAGCAAATAACTTTTTACTCTGTTCTGGTCGTCTCCGATTTCGACTCTATATCAATCATAACTATTAACACCATATTACTCCTTTTGATAACATGCTTCCAGCGCCTTCAAATTGTAATGCAGGCCACACAATGTTTTTAAATGGTTTTCCTTTTATAATGTCATATTTGTTCTCGTCCATTCTGTCTGAAAATTTGTCATATACCATATCAATTGGTGGGTCCTCAACACACATTAACCATGTTATGGCAGCACAGTCACGTGTGAACAATACAAGGTTTTTATTCCCATCCATCTTAATATTGTAAGTGTCAAGAAGGAATGTTTTCACTTCTTGTAAAAGAAGCTGAAATAAAGAGAATATAAGCATTGTCATAACGCGTTAAAAATAGGATAGCTGGTAATGTCTTGATAATTAAATCAATCAAATGGATTTTCTTTAAAACCATTTAAGTTTGAAGAAATACCGTTTCGTACAATACATATTTAAAAAGCCGAAATTAAGGAAATCAAAATAACCATTTAAAGGAAAGCGGTGGCGTAGTGGTGAATTTGTAAGCCTATCAGTACAGGGATTGTGGATTCGACACCTATAGGGTTACCACCACGTTTTTTCATACGACGCCTGTATTTGTTAGTTTTAGAACTGGAGTATGCTCTTAAAATTAGACTTTTTAATACAATTTAAAGGCACACATACAATTAATGAGGGATATTGTTTAAATTAATTTTCTACCTTCAATATGTTCATTGGCAGACAATAATACAAATTAATTCCTTTTGGATCAAAACTTTTTTCGCACTGTTTAAAATTACACTCATTAAAAATGAAAAAATATATGGAAATGAACATTACTCCTTGAAGCCTTTCTGTTGACATATCTGCATGTATATATCTATATCTACGAAGTAGTTCGTCCGAGGATTCCATATGCTTTGAAGAATGGATATTGTCAGGAGACACCTTCAGAAAGTAAAGGACAATTAATTAATTATTTCGAACACACTCATTAATGGACTTTGCACAAATATTTTCAGATATAAAAAAACCGCATGTTACACGAAACTTTTCATGAATATGATTAGTTAGAATAACTTTTCCTTTAGAATATAATATCCAAAACGTTTTAAATATTAACAGATAAACTCCACTAAAAGGCGTGAGAGGTGTTACACATTTATCATCTCTTTAGCAATTTGAGCCGCGTCACGACAAAACCAACATAGTGGGTTTGCGACCAGCATGGATCCAGACCAGCCTGCGCATCCGCGCAGTCTGATCAGGATCCATGCTGTTCGCTTACAAGTCCTATAACAAGTAGAGAAACTGATAGCGAACAGCATGGATCCTGATCAGACTGCGCGGATGCGCAGGCTGGTCTGGATCCATGCTGGTCGCAAACCCATTATGTTGGTTTTGTCGTGACGCGGCTCATATCATTTTTTTTCCTGATTTCTATGATACTTCATAAACACACCAATATTTGTCTGGCAAATAACATTAGATTTTAACTACACAGATTTAATACAATGCAAAGTAAAAGAAGGTATAAAAATAAATCTGAGTATGTATACGTACATCCCCAGTCTCCCCAGTCTCTACTATCTGTTTTGCACACTGTCCGGCAAAACTTATCTGATTGGCAGCCTCAATCTTACTTATTTTAAACGCTTTCTGTTGAATATAAGTAAATTGCTTTTTAATGAATAGAAATTTAACAGTCACTTTAAACAGTTTAAAATACGATAAGTAGAAGGACAATATATGCAAGAGTCATCTGTATTTCTTTATCTTGTACATCCAGACCTTTTATACAATGAAAGCCTAACACGTTCGAATATTATTAGTGATGAATAAGATAAACTATTGCAAATTTTGTTCATTTCTAATTAGATAATTTGGATATATAAACTTAAAAAAAAGTAACACATGGTGCCGCCGCGCCTCTTAAGGTCGTAGCCTGGAAAAATCCAATCCACTCGTCATCGGTAAAAAAATCAAGATAAAGATTCTTTTACATCTTTCATATATATTTTTAAATGTTTTACCTTTACTATTTCCATAATGCATTCAGTGCTCAGATGCTGGGAATTTGTGTGTTTCGAGATATCATCAAAAAGTGTTTTCCAATGACCATTCAAGAAAAGCTCTCGAAATGCATCAACAAGTCCTTCTATTCCTCTTTTTATTGGTCTGAAGTTAAACAGCAAAAATGTGTTATATTGTACCGTATCCAAGAATTGTTTAAAGGGTGTTGGGGGATAGCCTTTTGAAAAAAAAATTATGACTATGTTTTAGATACAAACTATGTATAATGTAAATATATATCTGATGCATCTCTCTGACACAATAAAATCTATGACAATGAATGTTAAGTGCCATTTTCTTTTCTTAAGTCATATTGGAAAAAACACATTTTCAAATTTAATTCCGTGAATATATTTTGGGTAAGACATATTACATGTATATCTTTTGAATAGTCTCGCAATATTGTTGAAAATTTTCAAAAAATACAATGGTCCTACAGTATCGTTAAGTATATGGCACACAAAGCTTATTACGAGCATAATTCGTATAATCACTGTAATATCTGAACTTACGTGTTCATATCCTGAAGATGTTTTGTTTGTAGGGTATTATTATCTAATTTTTGTTTCTCATTCTCGTTTGTTCCACTGAAGTTATCATCATCTTTGTTAACAGGATCTTTCTTTGAGCCTTTATCAATATCAGATTTTTTTCTTTCTTCCTCCTTAAAACAGACAATATACAATTCATTGTTAATGTATTAACAGCGTGTTTATTAATTAATACAGTTTAACTTGATATATGAATTTGAGAGTCGGTGACATGAGAACTGTGACAAAAAGTTTTTAAGTATTTATGTTTTTAGGCTTTTATTTAAATACATTTTGTATACAAAACAAACCCACGCCGGGAGTTGTAGTTCTTCTACCCTGTGTTATATATAAAAAAACCCCGGCTAATTGGAAACAATTTAGCAACTCTTTGTTTAACTCAACACATAAATAGTATAATATATATACCTCCAAGAATGGTTTTACGTATTCGTTAAATATCGATAGCACTTCCTTCACCTCTTCTCGCTTACATACTCTCATATGAGCTACATCATCAATCAATTTTTTAATTGGTTTCTATCTTTTTCCTGTGTCCTAAATGAATTTTTCCTTCTATCATGCTGACATCCTTTTCTGCCTCATAACAAAGATTCCTCAAATCCGATGACATTCCTTTCTCAAACACCAGACATAAGCTTCGAATACCAAAAAATTTCCCCATGGTTCCATGATTTTAAACACGTCTTGTATTATTTCTTCCTTGTTGAGAACAACGTAATATATTATGCTATGATTTCTGGAAATGCAAAAAAGAAATTTTATTTAATTCTTATTTACTTCCGCATTTGTAACATGATAAAGTCCACCACTTTTATGTATATCTGTACGGTAGTTTATAATAATACGATTTTAGTCATTCTAATCCTTAATCTCTATCGCGTCATTAAAAACTAAAGTCAAATTTTGTGAATTTAAAGTAAATTTTAAATACTTATCTTATCTATGTAATCATAGAAGGCAGTAAGATATCCGATAATAGTTTATATACAGGAACGTTTTAAAATACAGTGGGTAAAGATAATGGTATGGAAGGGGATGAAAGGTTAAGTCGATGTAAATTGTATCTCTCCATGAAATCCTACAAACACATTTGATGGCCAAAGTTTCAATTGCATCGTAATCAAGCTTTGTTCACAGTTTGATGATAAGCTTGGATCAAAGAAAAATTCCATGACACTCTAGAAACCACAATTTTATCCTGTCAAATTCCAACCTGCTCAAAATGTAGGTCTTTTCTAGTTCAATTTAAAATATCGGTCATCTGGGATACAGTAACCATCATTTTACAGGACAAGTCATATGAACACCGTGGCAAAACTTCTACAGTTTTTATACGATCTAAAACAAACCTTATCAAATTGATTTGTGTTGATTTTAGTAAGTTCGAGCATCAAGTGTTTAAAACTATGCCACTAGAAAAAATGGTAATAATTATAAAAATTAGTGAATGATTTTTTTATTTAAAACTTGGAAAATGAAAATCTTGATATTTTTGTCACTGTATTCAGCACGATATAAAATCAAATCAATCAGTCATTGAGGTGATTTATAAACCTCTTGTTTAAATATTGACAATACAATAATCATGATTTTAATAGGTATTTGATAATCTATGAATTACGGTGTACTGTTAGGGTCATCAATTCTTCGCTTTAGAGACCTCTGATACAAAGCTGCGAGACGACTGGATGACGAATGATGCGTTAGGCGTATCGTCTCGTAGCTTCAGCGTATCGTCTTGTCGCTTTGGCGCATTGTCACGTTTCTGTTGTCCTTTCTTTTATTTCCTTTTTTGTGTCGTTTTTTTTTTGTGCATCGTCTAATGGCTTAACAACGCGCTGTTACTTCAAAGTATTGTCGCGTGATTTCATTGCGTTTTCGGTAAGTCACTTTAGCGCAGTCTCATTGCTTAAAAACTATTCGCCGAAGCGATGAGACAATATCACGAGCAAACAAGAAACCAAAGTGACAAGACAATATATGCAATACAAAGACCCGATAAGACAATCGCCGAAGCAGAGATGATGATAAAAAGTGAATAAACAATTCACCAAGCGGACTAGACCAAAAACGATGCGTCGAAGTGACGAGACAGTGCGTTGAAGCAACGAAACAATAGACAAAGCAATTCAAAGTTCA